ATCAGGAACGTATGCTTTTACTTCTTCTGTAGTCATATTAAGTCGATACCCAGCAGTGAGATCATTTTGGCCTATATCAAATGTGTACAATGCGCTTGAAAACTTGTCCATTTCAGGAAACAAGTCCTTAAAGACATCTCCTGCAACATCATGCATCATATTTTAATGCATAATAATATACAATTTATTAGCCCTACAATAAATGAGCCAAAAAATAGTACCTTTTTGTCGGATTATTTGGGATCTGTTCAAGAAATCAAAGAATTCTGCATACTGAATGTCTAAAGAAATCGGGCTATACCCACTTTGAAAAATTGTAGTGTTTTGACGTCGGATTGTGGATCCAGCTGTCGCAAAATTGGCTCCATGGCTGAAATTTGTACCCATTGAATCCAAAAATGGACTAAGATAAGGTATTCCTAAACCTTCAGCTGAAAATTAAAACAAAACCCACTAAATTCGGCTTATTATAATATTACATTATTGTAAAATATTGTCATTATATATGTATCTGCCCAAAAATTAATGGTCCTGTTAAAGTTGTTTCCTTTGATATTTCTTAAGATGGATTTTTTTGAAGAAAAGTTATGGAACTTGTCAAAATTATCTTTTGGGAGTAGAAAAAAATATATGTATCAGAAGAAACATTAATAAAATATGTAACGTTTGTTGACTAATTAGATATGTATCGCCACCAATAATATAAAAATGAATAAATAAAGTCTGGAAATTAAAATTGCATGGTTCAAATTTTTGACTAAGAAACCCTGGCATGAAGATTCTGATCATAATACAGCCAAATTTCAAAACACATTTGGGGAATATCAAAAACTACAATTAAAGTTTCGTCTATATGTTGATTTCACTCAAATCGATGGATCAATTTGAACTGATAAGATACGACTTTACGCTAAGAATCATAAATCTGAAAATTATGAGTTTCAGGATCGATGAATTTGAATTCTCAGGATAAACTACACTTACGATTCTGATAAATTGATGGAGTGTTATTTTCAGTGCAGAAGATAGGGAATTACGAACCTATGAAATCGATTAGTAGACGGCCATCGCAGTAGCGGCCGGAAGGAGAATGGAAGAAAGTTTCGCCGTTAGGCGGAGGAGCTTGTCCGAACATCGCCGATAAACCACCAGTATCCGAATTTGAATCACCGAAGTTGAATACTGCCGGAAAATTACAGTCCGGCGAAGAGAAAGTCGGAATTAGTAGCAGTAATGTAACAGAGATCATTAGTCCATAGACCGGAAACATTTTCATCGGAGAGATCTCTTGAGAGAGAGATTTGAAATTTAGAAAGGAGAAGAAGCGATAGAGGTTTGAGATTTTATCAGTTTTTGAGTATTAAGTTTAAAGGGTGTTAGTTTCTGGGTGCTTCTTCAACCCTTCAAGTCAAATATGTTTAATCAGATAACAATATTTATACATTTTCCTTCATTTTTCATATATAAAATAAAAGTAAAATACATTTAAAATGGCAATCCATATGGAGTTTTTATTACCTAAAGTCCTAAAGTGTTGCATTTTTAATGTTTTACTTTTTATGGTGTTTTTGAATGTGATGCACGATGATGAAATATGTTATATTTTTTTGGGAAAGTTTCTTTATTTTGGAAATTTTTTTAATAAAGTCTATTCTTTTTTTTTTTTTTAAATAAAAAAAACACAAACCTAATTGTAACATCCCAATTTTCAAGGCCAAAAATTTTGTTTTTAAATTACTTAATTCACAAATCAGATTACCAAAACATCATCAATCTCATATTACTTGTAAAAACATAATGTCATGTCTCAAAACCATATAATCAAGAACAGTGTAAATCAGAGTACAATCCCAGAAATCCGGTGCGGAAACCATGTATGTGTGTGATGCGCTGCCACACCGCCGACTCTTCCCCTTAGACGAAGAGGTACCTGAAACCAAAACTGAAACCGTAAGCACGAAGCTTAGTGAGTTCCCCCATCATACCCATAGCACAAATCTTCGGTATCTTTCAACCGGTAACCGGGAGCTACCCTCCCCTTCGGTATAACTGGGGACCATCCTCCCCTTCGGTATCTTTCAACCGGTAACCGGGAGCTACCCTCCCCTTCGGTATCTTTCAACCGGTACCCGGGAACTAACCTCCCCTTGGGTATCTTTCAACTGGTAACTGGAGACTATTTCACCCCTATCCCTATCACATAATCAATAGCATAAACATATTGGTTTCATGGTAACATAACATAAGCATACTGAATCATACAATAACATATCCTATACATACTACTATGCATGCGTGGGTTCTATCCACCCCTTCGGTATCTTTCAACCGGTAACCGTCTTCGGTATCTTTCAACCGGTAACTAGGGACTAGTGCGCCCTACTACTACTAGCACATTTCTCAGTACAGTCATAACAACCAGATAATTATCACAAAGATAATCACCTCAACCATAATCACCTACTGGTAGGCCGGCATTGGTGCCGTAGACCCACCCCTACTGGAAGGTAACTCACCTCGTAAGGCTGACTGCTGAAATGCTGATCGGGAAATGTCTGACTGCTGCTCCGGTAACTCCCCGGCTGCAATTCCCATAAAGACACTTAGTCAAATACTGCTAACTAATCTTTGGGTAAAGTGACTAATTTACCCCTGGTCAAAGTCAAAGCCTTGGTCAAAGTCAACTTCCAGTTGACCTGACTCGCCGAGTTGGGCTTCCAACTCGTCGAGTCCCTTTCCTTTCATCTGACCCCCTCCCGACTCTACTCATCGAGTTTAGCAAAGACTCGACGAGTTCTCCTTCTATAACATCATCGAATGAACCTTCATCCGACTCGCCGAGTTTTATGAACAACTCGTCGAGTTCACCTTCATCCTATGAACAAGTCCAGTCTGCGACTCGCAGAGTTGTACGAACAACTCGTCGAGTTCATCTTCAAAAGTTGGGAGATTGCCTTGGACTCGTCGAGTCTGTTCATACACTCGCCGAGTCCTATGATTCCCAGGTCCATGGTTAAGTCTAATATGTTGAGTCACTCCCCTGGACCCCTCTAAGACCCTTCTAACACTCAACTGGGTTCCTTTGAACCTCAACAAACTGGGGACTCACGCCCTGGACTCGTCGAGTTCCAAGAACAACTCGCCGAGTCGATGTCGTCCAAGTCTTATTTCTCGATTTCTGATGTACAACACTTATCCAAAAGATAGATATAGGCTTCTAAGATCGATCTAGCACGTAAAGTTACGAACTTTACGTGCATGGATGGGAGTATAAGCTCAATGGACCCAAAAATGAGGTCTAAAGGTGCATGTGGCTCTTTATGGCTACAAGGTTGGCCACTTTACTCCATGTAGTCCCCCAAGGACCCTGGATCTGGAGTCTTAACCCCCAACCATGCTTGCACCCATGATTGGTCGCCAAAAGTGGTTCCTACAAGCCCTAATTTACTCCAAAAAGGGATCTAGAACATGAATGAACAAGGTACAAGCTTTATACCTCTAATGAACTGTAGATGCTGCACAAACTCGAAATCTTCTGGTTTCCTCTTGGCTCCTCAAGCTTTTCCTTCTTCCTTGTGATCACAAACCACCAAAATCACCAAAAATGGCCTTAGATCTCACAAAACAATTAGGGTTTCAGTACGAGGTGTTCTGGGAGCATAAGGGACGATGGAGGCTGCATTAAGATGTTTAAATAGGGTGCAATCCCTCAGGTTTAGGGTTTTGTCCAAACAGCGCCTACTCGTCGAGTCAGTCTCCGACTCGTCGAGTAGGTCACTTAAACTTCCCGCGGATCTCGTCTCTACTCGACGAGTTGGACCATCAACTCGTCGAGTCCCATATAAAATACATCCAATTCTTAAATAAAATACATACCAGAAACCCGGTGTTACACTAATATTGAATTTTGACTTCATCCTGTTTATCATTGTCATTTAATTTCTCTCATCCACCACAAACATATGGTCATCCTCATCACTTTCTAAGACAACTCACTTTCTTCAAAGTCTAAGTTATAATAATCTCTCATGTAAGGATTACTTTCGACCATAAACTATAAAGTAAGAAATCTATAATTTTAACACAACTTATAAATAAAGGAGGGATTTTTACCATACACACATTACATTAATAGTGTCAATGGTCCGAAGTTGCTATTAGTCGGTGGAATTTCATTTGAGCTTTCTTCTTTGGACAAACCCTAATTAAATATCCTCTTGAATGAGGTGTATGTTGTTTTTTCCCTAGTTTATCGATGTTCATTTCCACATAATAAAGGGTTTAATGAGCAAAGGGGCGACGTCTAGGGTGTTACCGAGAGAATTCCAGGAAACCCGTTATGTGGTTAATATTGAACAAAATTGGAAAACACGATGTTCAATTTAGAAAAATAATACAATATCAAAATCGAAAAAAATAACAATATAGTGTCTTTTATACCATTTGTCTATATATTAATTACATTATTCTCTTTCAATTTCTCAAAAGTTTCCATCATTGTAAGGTACACCTCCTTTTTAAGTAATTAAATTTTAATAGATAGAAATGATTAAAAATGGATCAATATTTTTGACGTTTATACTCTTGGATGGTGCAATTTGATAGGGTACCAAACGAGTTGGAACGAGCTCAATGTTGATTCAACAATACTTAATTAAGGGACTATTTGATAACCTCTTAATGAAATTATTAAGAGGTCTCATTTGAATCGGTCAATATTCAATACGTTTTATATTGTCTCTAAACTAACCAAAAGCCTTTAAACGGTTAATAAAATCTACCTTTTTTTAACCATTAAAATATTAGAATCATTCAACACTAAATGACTTATTTTAATCAAACAACTCCTAAGTTTGAATTTGATTTAACAACATGATGAGTGTTACTCAAACTTGATTTGAGAAAGATTAGACATCTCAAAAGATTAGACATCTCAGGATATTTTAAAATTATCATTTGAAATAACTTTTAATAAAATAAACCCGTGTCCAAAATTCAAATTAAAAAAAAACCGACTATAAGCACCATCTATATTCAATAAATATAATAAAAATAAAGCATGTTTGATTCAAGTACCTAAAACTTAGAATTTGAATAATTTCCACTAAGAACCCTACCTATAACAAATTTGGATATCAAATGCAAATACTACCTTAATGTTGTCTACGGCAGGCCAATCCTAACGGGATTGGCGGGTCAGAAAATGACCCATTTACAATTTGATCAAATACCCATTTATTGGCTGCTTGAGTGTAATGTACCCCATCCCAATTTATTGCAGCCGTTGGATCTGCGCAAGCTTTACCCACCAAGATATCCGTACCGTTGATTTTGATCTTTCCACCACACCCAATATGCACATTGTAGTTGTACTTTCCTCCATGACCACAACAAGCTCTCAATGCATGTTTAAACCCTAAATTTCAAACAAACATACAAGTCTTTAAAGCACATAAACAAAACACTTTCTTGTACCTTATTTGCAAATAATGCAAGATTTATCTTAAATTAAAGAGTTTAATAAAATCACTCACGTAAGTGATTGATGCTTTGGGTAATGAGTGCATATTTGACTGAATAGATATCAACATATGTGATTGTTGCTTTTGGTAGATGCTCACGTAGTTGATCTACAGTTTGTTTTAACCGAAGGTTAAAATATCGAGCGAGTTCGTTAAATGGGCCCACACATCCATATTTGTCCACTTGTCCAGTTGTGACCGGTTGACGATCGAGGATGTATGGTAGACACCCAAATGGACCAGTATTGTGTATCCAAAACGTTCTTCCTCCTTGATTATAGATATCCTAATAAAAAAACTAAATTCGTTACAATATGTAATAATAAAAATATTATATGATGATAATATTTGTTTCTCAAATGGTTCATATATATTTTTTATGTAAATTAAAAGGGAAACACTCACCTTGATCACAGTTTTGAATTGACCTACTATATCTGGTACGGAATCCCTAACTTGTCTAAGAGTTAAGTTTTGGAATAAGCCAGCAGTCAAGTCATTTTGCCCGATATCAAATGTATACAAAGCACGTGAAAAGTCTTCAGTTTTGGGCATCAAACGCTTAAATACTTCATCAACTACACAATGAAATTTATAAATCACACAAATGTTTATAAATATGATTATTAGATATCATAATAATATGAAAAATGTTACCTTTTTTGGTGCGAAAATTTTGTACCCTACGATGGAAATCATTAAATTGATACCCTTGAACATTTAAAGAAAAAGGACTGAACCCACTTTGGTGGAGGGTTGTGTTTTGTGGCCTAATGGTCGAACCAGCTGTGGCAAAATTGGCTCCTTGGGTGAAGTTCGAGCCAAGTGCATCTAAGTATGCACTCAAGTATGGCAGCTCGAAGCTTTCAGCTGCAAAAAAAATTTAATTAAAAAAAAACATTAATTGCTAGATAATGTTTTAAGAATTATACAAATGTACATTTTACCTTAGAATTAATATAAAGTTTATATTAATGAATATGGTGAACTAGTTAAATTGAAAGGTCATATATAATTTTATTTATGGTTAATACACATCATCAAATATATAATATAATTTCATTAATTTATTTATCATACCATATTTTTCTTTTTACAGATTTTTACTGGGAAAAACAATTCATTTCTAACAATTCTCATTGTTATGATACAGAAAAAAAATAGAAGTATAAAACATTAATAAAAGAAATATAATCTATAAATATTTTATTAAAAAACAAAAAAACGCATTGTTATGCCATTCAGTCACGTGCAGCTCCAATTATACGATTTTGGACACGAGTTAGGGACACCATTAATCGTCTGTCACGTGAATAGAATATAGTCGTGTTTTCAGGTCATATAAAAATAAATCTTTTGTACAATTAAATGACTTTTTCTATCGCGAGATAATCATATCATTATTGAAAAAATCATGAAACTAGCCAAATAGAGAAAATCCAAAAAGTTCATTTTACTATGATAAATAATTAAATATGGTAAATATTGCCATTTATAATTATAATACTACCCTTTATGTTATTTTAATGATTATAAATACATCAATTTTCTGCTTTCAACCAAATAATTAATGGATCATACAAATTTTACCCAAGAAATATCTTATTGAATATGTAAAAGAAAGAGATTTGTATAACAAATACCTATAAAATCGATAATAAGCCGGCCATCACAGTACCTACCGGCCGGACCATGGAAAAATGACTCTCCATGGGGTGGTCCGGCCTGCCCAAACGCCGCCGATAAGCCACCAGTGTCGGAATTGGAGTCTCCAAAGTTGAAGATCGCCGGAAAATCACATGGGTGTTTACTGGTAATGGCACCGACAACTGAGTTCCTCAACAGAACCACTAAAAACAACATAAAAGCTTCTACCGGAAGATTTCTCCGGAGGCGGAGCTCCATGACTGACTGAGAGATAGAGAAAACGGTGAGGGGGGAGAAATGGGTAGGAAAACGAAGAAGATAATGTGTCAGTAAAAACTAACCCATTACATGTGCATCATGGGCTTTATGCCATTTGCATATAGTAGTGAATTACCAAAATGGGTCTTCCGAAAGTGGTGGGTTTCATGGGCAAGGAAAGAAAAGAAGCAAGATTAAGGGGTATTTATGTCGTTTCGAGAGTAAAACCGGATGATATGAGCTTCAAAACTGTCGTCATGGCTAAATATAGGTTTACAAAACGATATCCCACTTTCTGTTTGAGACTAAAACTATACAAATAATGATTTATATGTTTTCAAGGAAAAGATTTTGTTACATCTTTTTTTAGTATTATTTAACTATAAATATAATGAAAAACCATACCCAAACCTAAGATATAATGTAATTTAAAGCTTGAAGAAAATTAAAGATCAAGTTTAATAACATGGGTTGAATTGTCTACTTTTATAAGTATGTATTTTTTTTATTTTTAGCTTTTATAGCAACATTTTATAGAACTTTATGTTTGTTGCAATGCATAGCTTGAAACTTTAAAATAAGATATATTTTTTATAGAGAAAAAAACTAATACTCAAATATGTTGCTATTTTATGCATTTAACACAAAAGAAAATTGAAAAAGCGCACCGAAAACTGGTTAATTGCACAAAACAAAGGCCCTTTTGATATATTTTTGTCTAATCTTGATTTTGTTCATCTAAACTAAGTTTTGCACAACAAAGTTGGGTGGTTGGGTATGTTGATGGGGATGAGAGTTGTGAAATAGGATAATACAAATTATCAAATGCATGAAGTTATGTTGAATAGTAATCTCATTTAATAATTCTTTAATTGAGATTTAGCTAACAAAATAATATTGTTATATCGTTGTTTAGTATTAGTCGGGCCGAACTTAACATAAAAAGTTAAACGGTTTACTTTGACTCTTTGAGTCTTTGATGTTTTAAAATGGGCTAGATGTGTACAATACAAATCTAATCTCATTTTTCTATTGTTTATAACATTATGCTTTTATCTTTAGGTTAATAGATTCTATAAACATTCATGTTTATAGTTATCAATGACTTGGAATTTAAAAGTGTATGTTTAAAATTATGGTGCCATTTTACGCATCTAACACAAAAGCATATGTTTATAGCAATATATATCTTTTTAACTAAACTGAGTTTTACACATATCTCCGACAAAGGCGGGTGGTTGGATAGGGTGATCCGGATGAGAGTTCTAAAATTGTATAATACAAGTTATCAAATGCATGAATAGTGTTGAAAAGTAATAATATACAAAACTACAATTTGAAATAAATTTTGAAAAAATTTCTAAGTAAGGAAGGAAATATACTTGAACTTTGGACCGGTTCTCATTGGATAATCTACTAAAATTAAAATTCATGAAATGATGTATCGCTCTTTTATCATTTTTTGGTATTAGCCCGCCTGAACTCGACATAAGACCCTAAGGGGTACTAAGTCCTTCATTATTTTAATCTTTCATGCAATATCAACTACACATCATTTCTATCGTCAACATTTCACAACTTTTCCTTTCAAGGAAATACCCATATTAACATTTCACCAAAGTTTATTAATTTTTAATAGTGATCTTCGAATATGTTGAGAGATTCGAAGATTTTAGGTCATTAGTATAATAAGTTGTTGTAAGGCCTCTAAAAATAAGTTTATGTTTGTGTTTTCTGTATCAGTTATGACATCCAAACTTTTAAGTGTTAGTGAAAAATGTTTCTCTGAAATTGCTTTGATATTAATATTATCTCACATCAAAATAATGTTGTGGGACAAATTTCGCATTAATATATTCTTTTTAAAAGATATTTTGTTTTAAATAAACATAAAAAAAAAGTTTTTAACTGACCGAAAAATTAAGGAAGTCACATTGGTTATCAAAGAATTTAATCGAATGATAGAGGTCGGAAAGATTATGGGCAACATGAAAAGGTGTACAAGATACTTACATAAATTGTTGTGTAGAGTAGGTGAAATTGATGGTAAATAGAATCAATGATCTTGTTTAAAAGTGGTGTGCTTGAATACGTGTTGGATGATTTGGCGATTCAGAATCATGGACACTTTTTGATCCTCATAAACAATGTAATGATTTTATTTTTCATATTAGTGTCATGTATTCGTTTAATTAAGTAGTAAATAAAAGTGTCAAACTTAAGCTTAATTGAATTGTTTCTGTGCAAAACATTGGAGCTAATATTTCGTTGTAATTGTCTTTTTATTTTATAGCATTTTGGTAAACTCAATAAAATTCAGCCGTTATAAATTAAGTAGGTTCCGAAAGGTTTTGCACAACTCTAGCTAAAAAAATCCGTTAACCCTAAAACGTTACAAAATAAAAGTATAAATCTTAAAATGTTGTATATTTATAGTAGGTATAAATTCTTTGTTTTTTTAAACATTAATCATAGATTATAAATAAGGTCAAAATATGTCTTGTATATGTAGTTATGGTTTAAATGGGTACAAGATGCACTTTATTTAAATATATCAAAATTACAATGATGGTAGTTAAAATTTTTATTTAAACCAACCCAAGGGTTGGCCTAACGAATGCACTGTCACTTAACAGGAGTGTGAGACTTGGTATGAACTATGAAATCGTGAAACGGATTAATCGAGTTGGAAACGTCTAAAAACCAAACCAAAACAAGGGTATCATAATTATATATTTGCAAATCGGTAAAAAAAAGTCAAAGTTGACTCTGTGGCCCAATGGATAAGGCGCTGGTCTACGGAACCAGAGATTCTGGGTTCGATCCCCAGCAGAGTCGGGTATTTTTAATTGATGCTCTTGCTGTCGAGTATTTTTAATTATACTCTTTCAGAAAATATAATTTCTTTTTCAATAATCAAACACAATCACTGCTAATATAAATAAGAATCAAGTATTTTTGCTATTTCCCATATTTTTTCTTAAAAAGCATTGCCATAAGGATCCTAAACTCTCCTATAACCAATTTTTACCGGATTTCAATACACAATCTAAAAGCCCATGACTAAAGACAAGTTCTCTTAAGATGCCAAGCAAGGCTCTTTACATCCAACAACGCGACTTCTCACATCCTCCTCCACTACGGAACCAAAATACTCAATCCAATGCCAAGATTAATAGTCGTGGTTGAGGCAAATTACAACATTCATATACTTCTAATACCATTTGGGCTCGACTAGGGGTGACAACTCTCGATCAAACCCGTAACCCGAAAATAGACGGGTTTTGGTTGATATTTTTGACCCGCCAACCTGTTTGTTTCATGGGTTGGGTTGGGTTACCTATTTGGGTTCGCAGGTCAACCCGCCAACCCGTATATATATATATATATATATATATATATATAAAATAGATATATTTAATTATTAATAAAATCTGATTTCCTTCCGTATTGGAAATATTCCGTATCATTGTATTCCTTTTGTATTCGTATGTGGCTAATTTGTGTTTGTGGTGCCCTAATCAAAAAAGAAAAAACACATATCGTCATTTTTAGATACTCACGAGTCACGAACGAAGAACACATCCATTTTGTATGAATGTTTCTATTTTTACATTTTATTTGGATGTTAACGACTTTATGAATTTATGTTGAAAACCTCTTTTTTTGATGTTAACTACTTTAATCACTTTATGACTTTATGTTGAAAAAAACTCATTTTTTAAATTGCGTTGCTTCTTTATTAAATGGTTTATATGGGTTGGGTTCGACCCACTAACTTGTGAACCCGCGAACCCATATACTTAAACGGGTTATATGGGTTGGGTTGAGTTGAGGTTTCCAACCCACCAACCTGTGACCCGCCAACCCATATATTATATGGGTTGGGTTGAGTTTATGTTTTCTGACTCGCCAACCCGAACCCAACCCGATTGTCAGGCCTAGGCTTAACCATAATGCTCAAACGGACTTGGAATCTTTGGAACGGAAAATAATATTTCATTTGAATTTGATCTATTTGGTTTCATTGTGAAGGATCTACGGACCAGACAACACACCACGAGAGGTAAGTGATGAGTTTTGAGCACTACATCAGTCCTATAGTGTACATGCAAACCCTAAAGCTTTGGATCTAGTTTGTCTAATGAACATGCAATAATCACCCAAAGCTCATAAGCCCTAGATCTAACATATGTATATCGAAATTAATATGTAAGAACAGATCTAGATGAATACCTCTTATAGAATGGCTTGAATCTCGTTTCCTTGGAGCTTAGAGTCACAAATGTCACTCCTCTAATGGTTTACAAACACCAAGAGCACGTTGATGATATTGGAAAGAGGATAGGAGCACCAAAACCGTCCAAGATCTCTACAAGAAAGCTTAGCCACGTTTTTGGGATCCCTAGGGGTCTATTTATACTTGTGTGGGCTGCTAGGGTTTCAGGAGAAACCCTAATTCTCTACTTAGGCCTTAAGCAACCCATGAAACCTTTCTAGAAGGCCCTTGGACGAAAATCATATGGACTTCCCATAGATTTCGTCCAACCCCTTTCCCTTTAGGAATCCATAGCCCACAATGCAATTATCTTATAATTACAATATTAGTCCCCCAAGTCTAATTAATCTCTTTTAGCCACAAAATTAATTTCTTAATTAATTCTTGTCCAATATTAATTAAACTCTATGATTTCTCTATTAATATATTATTCATATAATATATTAATAAACCATAATTAACCTCTTCCTTCATAAATCATCCTATCTAGTTGCTTTGATGAAGGCAACCCAAAAGGACCATGCACAACCGGGTCAAATACTTACCAAATATAGTTACGGGCTTAGACACTAATCCAACAGTAAGAACACTAAAGATCTCTATATGTTTATCCCGCACAAGATACTTCATTCCACATTTACGTCTTTGGACTTCAAGTGACCATACAGTACTACATTTTGCCATATGAACAATATAAATCACGTATAATTAATATTGAGGGTCTAATGATTGTAATTCTTGTTTACTCAAAAATTATATTTAACCATCCTTTTAATTGTGATTCTTCAATAACACCACATACGTCGTATGGACTTCTTCGTCCTAAGCAATGGTGCTCACAAACAGTCGTACCTTTTTTGGACAATTATACATTTTTATGGATTGTTCCAATAACACACCGGATTGTAATTCTTCCAATACTTTGAAAACATACCACTTTTAT